TACCTGCACACCGACATGGCTGTTTCCTCCAGGAACATTCTACTGTGTGCCGAGCCTGTGTTGCCCTCACAGGCTGTAAGAAGCTGATCCACGAAACAGAATAAAGCATGGTTTTGTCTATAAACCATGCATCCCACAGAGCCCAGCCACAATGTTTGCCGAAAGGCAAGGATGACCAGGCAGACCAAGCCACCCTGTTCCACAAGGACGAGGAGAGAAAAGTGTTGTGAAGTCATTTTGAAAACAGGAGCCTGCTTTCCAGATGTGAGTCACTAAAGGCTCAGTGAACTCTCTTTTCCATGTGGCCTATATTTAGGGTCACTATGAATAGACTGTGGATGGGGGAGCTGGTGACAACCAGGAATTTCTGTACAGTGGTTAGGAGGCTCCAGAGTCTGGCACATTGTCTGGATTCAAACCCCAGTGCTACTATGTTGTGTTGTTATAATGGGCAAGTTGCTCGACTTCTTTGGGCCTCGGTTTCCTCCTCTGTAGAATGGGGATAATACCTATCTCACATGGTTATTATGAGGATTAAATGAGCTAATTCTTATAAAGTACTTAGAGCAAATGTTTGACATTGAGTAAGCTCTCATTGAATATTTACTGTTATTGCTGGTGTTATCAACAATAACATCATAGTTATCCAATGAGGAAAGCGAACCATGGATAGATGTATTTTATGCATGGGTGGGTCATGTAAGCTATATGGACTTCATATGGAAGGGAATTTGATTGCTTTAGGGAAACCAATTTGACCCTTTAAAGTGTAACCACTTAGAAGCTCTCCTGTTGGCTAGATGTGATATGAGCTTTCATGGTCACATGGTGAAGCTGTCTCCACACAGATGCCCTCTTGAACAGGTAAGTCCATCTTTTGGAAGCAGAGGTTTTATCTGAAGGTCAAAAATACAGAAACCACTTTTCTTCATTGGTTTGGGCCATAATATGTACCATAAGCTGGATGGCTTCAACAACGAACGTTTATTTCTCACAGTTTTGGAAGCTAAGAAGTCCAAGATCAAGGCTCCAGTGAATCTGGTGTCTGGTGAAGGCCCTCTTGCTGGTTTGCAGATGGCTGTTGTATTAGTCTGTTTCTGTTGCTTATAACAAAATACCTGAAACTGGGTGAGTTATAAATTTATTGCTTACAGTTTCTGAGGCCAAGAAGTCCAAAGTCCAGGGAACACATCTGGTGAGAGCCTTGGTGGTGATGACAGTGATGGCAGGGTATCACATCATGGAATGGCAGGGCAGAGAGAGAGCAGATAGAGCGAGACTGAGAGAGAGAGACCCTTCTCTCTCTCTAGCCCTTGGAACACATGCCCCTGACCATTATTTTTAATCCATTCACTACAATGTGGGCCTACAATCTAATCACCTCTTCAAGGCTCCACCTTTCAATTACCATAATAGGATTTCCCATCATCAGCAGTTACAGCTGATTAAGCTTCTAATATATGAAACTTGGGGGCACAATTCAAGCTTCAGTGAGTTTTGCGGGGACCTAATTCAATCCACTACAGCTGTCTTCTCTCTATGTCCTCACATGGCTCTTGTCCCTTTCTCTTCTTCTAAGGGCACTGATCTCATCATGGGGGCTCTACTCTCATGACTTCATCTAAACCTAATTTATTCCCAAAGGCCCCACCTCCTAATACCATCCCATTGGGAGTTAGTGTTTCAACATATAACTTTTGAGGGAACACAAACATGCCGTCCACAACACTGTTTAACTGACTAGTTAAACTAGACTCCTAGAAATTCACCCCCTTCAGGTGAGCCCTGTGGGACAAGACCCCTTTGAGGGCTTTCTGATATTATGAGTTCCTTGTGTCTGAGAGATTTGGGTGCCTTTTCTTTTAACTAACTCTTAAGGGAGGAGGGGTCATTTTGCAGAATTTTCCCCTCGATCTAGGTGTAGGTCAGCATTGTGACCTTCCTGGCCCTTGTCCTTACCTTCAGGGTAACCCATCCTATTCTCTCGGTGATCTCAGGCCAGGGCTTGTTCTGCTTCCTTTCCTTGGACACAGGTGGATCTTTGGCCAATCTTGTATCTACACTATGTAGCTGCTCTGGGGTTTGGGGGTTTGTTTTGGCTGGGTGTCATGGTACCTTGACTATAGGTATGTGGGATGAACAAGAGACCCAGCATACCCTCTGGGGGCAGTTAGCAAAGTGAGATCAGTGGAGGTAGCTTGGGGTTCAAGAGAATTCTCAACCCTTTTTGTCCTGGCTGTCTCCATGTTTGATAGTTCTAGATGCAATCACTGTTTAGTTAACTGGCCAATCAACAACATTGTGGCCTAAATTTTGTTAATCATTTCCTTAATCAGAACTTTAGAATGCAAATTAAACAAGAAAAAGTGACTTTGTCTTCTTTTTGCTTGTTTGTATTCTCTTCTTTTTTTCGAAAAGAGAGAACTATTCTAAGGTGGCTAACATCTATATTTGCTTTTGTGAATCAAAGCAAACAGTTGATTGGACATTTTTTTTTTTTTACCAAATTCCTGTGTACTCTAGAAACATAGCCTAAGGCCTTCGAGAGAGGATGGGGCCTGTGTGTGCACATGTGTGCATGTGTGTTCAGAGTGTGTGTGAGCGAGTGCTGGTGAGACAGAAAACAGAACAGTAGAAGCGGCTGAGTGCCTGCTCTGTGCCAGGTGTTTTATTTCATTACTCCTCATAACAAACCAAGAGGGCAGGTATTATTATTATTATTACATAGGAGGAGACTGAGAATAAGGAAGGCAAGATAGTTTGTCCATGCTCTGGTGCCAAGTAAGCGGAAGAACTGTGGCTCCAAACCAGTCTGCTTGACTTGGAAGTCTGAGTTCTTTTCAGTTTGAGGATGGAGGTAGAGGAAAGAGAGGAAGACAGCCAGTGGGGCAGGGATACAGAGAGAAAGAGAGACCCAGGGACATGATCTAAAAACTCCTGGAAAAATGCATGATGAAGTCTGAGCCTTAGTGCTAACTCTGCCCCGACTGTACTGTAACTCGCAGACACCTTCAGTCTGTAAGTCTGCTCTCTCCCATCCCCACCCCTCTCTCCCTTCCTCCCTTCTTCCTCTTGCCTGATGAAGGCCTGACCTGTCATGATGACCGTGTGATCCGATCCTGGAGTCTGGGTCTCCTTCATCTGGAACTGGGCTCCCATGGTGCCACCGCCTGGGCAGGGGGTAAGTCCCTCAGCCCTTGTCCCAAGCCTAGATACTTGTGGGAGGGTGCCTGGAGTCCAAGGGTGAAGCAGGCCTGGAGGGGCTGCTCAGCCTGCAGCCACCAGCACCCACCTGCCTTGTTTCCTGTGCTTCCTCTTAGTGAGTGGCTGAGCAGACTCTTGGCTGCAGGGGGTTCTCCTTAACCAGTTACCAGGGCTCAGCATGAGTCATCCAGATGGAGCTGTGACAATGTGGCTTTCATCTTCATCAGAGGAGACCCTGTGGGAGGGACTTTGTCTCCCTTCAGCCCACATCGCTCTTCCCAGAGCAGTGCACTGTCACCCAGGAGGGGCCCGCCACTTACCCGGTCTAGGGAACCTCTGCAGAAACTCCCTGCCTGAGCACTCCTGAGCAAAGAGCCAAGCCAGGGTAAGCCTGTGCATATAAGGCCTCAATTTCAGATTAGATTCACAAATTTAATTTCCTATTCCTTAATTTAATTCTGCATTTTAGTTTTGTTTTTATTATTTACATGGGTTCCCTTTAATGATTCCAAATTGCTGCTGCCCTCTAGCAGTATTTTGTCTTAGGTTCGCTTCTTGAAAACCGATCAGCATTGGAGTTTATTCCACACTGGGTTTAGTTATTTTCTGAAACGAAGCACAATTAAATTAGAATAATGAACATGCTCTTTAGAGGATTAATTCATAATAAGCAGGCCATGTGCTACAGCTCACAGAAGAAAGGGCATGAGGATCGAAAGCTGTTTTTTCTGCCTAAATATGAAAAGTACATTCTGCAGAGCAGAACAAATCAGCTAATGACATCCAGAGCGCTGGCCAGCCCCAGAGCGGCACGGAGCTGGCATCTCGAGTTAGCGCAATCCCCGCCACCGCTGCTGCCTACCTTCTGTCCCCAGGAAGGCTGGCAGCAGGCAGTTTACCTGGCTCCATTCTCCTCCACACAGCTGATCAGAGGAAGCCCAAACTCCACAGCCTGTGCCTTCCCAAGCTTCATCCTCAAAGCTTCTGAGAGCCTCGTATCCTTACTTCTTTCATCCTGGGAATGTTCTACTAATTCCTGTTATGTACCAGGCATCCATGGGCACACCCTTGGGAGGCATCAGTGAAGAAAGCAAATGGACCCCTGCCCTGCTGGAGGTGCATTTGAGCAGGCAGAGACCGACAATGCACAGTAGAGATAGTCAGCAAACTACATGGTGGCAAGGAGGTGAGGAGTGCTAAGGAGTCGGGGGGTCGAGAGTGGCGTGCGCAGGTGTATGGTTTACAATTTTTCAACATGATGGGTCAGGGTAGGCTCACGGGGAAGGTGTCAATTGAGTGAAGACTTGAAGGAGGTGAGAGAGTGAGCCCCTGTCAAGAGTGTCCCAGGGGTCGAGTGTCCCAGAGCAAATAAATACAGCAAAGCGCTAAGGTAGGAGTGTGGCAGGCCAGGAGGAGGGACGAGGCCAGCAGGAGCTGAGAGGAGGGAGCGTGTGCGAGACGAGGGCAAGCCAGTGAGCGGGGCCTTGGCTTCTTCATGAATGGGAGGGCAGGGCAGGTGTTTACAGCAGAGGCAGGACATGGTCTGACTTATCTTAAAGGATCTCTGGCTGCTGGCTGAGAATAGACTGTACGGGGTGAGGGGGGCAGGGTGCATGGGCTGGGAGATCTGTGAAACTCCAGCCACAGACCCCCTCCAATTCTCCATGTTCTCTGGACCCCCAAAGTGCTGAGCTCAGGCCTCACACACAGGCCCGGAGGCTAAGAGTCTCCAGTAGTCTTCTGCCTCCCAGAAGGACCAGAATGAAGGAACAGCCTACGATCATAATTCGTGAGGCATGTCCAGACCATTATTTCCCATTTGGCCCTGGAGACCTGTCTGCAGCCCCTCCTAACCCCTGCCACTGACTCAGAGTTCAGACAGCCAGATCCTTCAATGGAAGGAGGCTTACAAGCAGGGAACACCTCTTCACTGTCTTTTTGGTTGTCTCAGTACTTCTCAGAGGGAGACCTCTCAGGCACCCTCTCAGCCAGGTACCCAAAAAGGTACATCAGAAGACTTCTGCTGAGCAACTGCCACAGAAACAGGGGACAGATCAAAGCAGGAGAGGACAGATGTCTGTGGGAACCAGAGCAAGGATGAGGTACAAACAAACTGAATGAATAAATAAGAAGACAAGTGATTGATGGATGGGGGATGAATGATTAATGAATAAATGAATGATTGATGAATAAACAAATGTTTGGCCTCGAGCCGGCTCCTGCTCTCACTCTGGGTATATTCTCTCCTGGGAACCCAGGAATAAAGATCCTCCCATGGCCCTCCCCTCTGGAATTCCCTGCTGAAGTAGGGATTGCACCTGATTTTGACCCCAGAGGTGGAGGAGGCTTGCTGGGACCTGGGGCTGCAGGGGGTAGTTGGAGGAAGGAGGCTGGAGCAGTCGGGGCTGGGATGGAAGACGTCTGGGGCAGCCTGTAGGTTCTGAGGTAAGACAGCACCAAGGATTTGGGATGGGGGAAGAGGAGAGATCTGGTTTTTGCTTTTCTAGTCCCACACTGGACATTCTGTAGATGTTGGGCCTTGGATTAGTCTTAGTTGAGAGTATGTTAGGATAGAAAAGTCCATCGAACTGAGAATTTGACTATACTCGTATTATCCCAACAGGTAGGAAGATTTTGGTGACTGAAATTGCCAGAAACTTCCCTTATGGGGCAGGCTGATGATGACTCCAGCTCAGGTCCAGGCAGTCCCGCCACTGCACTGGCACCATCCAAACGTGCTCCCAGTGTGGTCAGATCTTGGTGCCTCTTGGGCGAGAAGTGCCCTACTGGGGGTGGGTTCAAGGAGGCAGTGTCTGGAGAGCCTGGCACTCATGGCCTCATTCAATTTTGGAAGAGGGTCTTGCCTGGGGATTCCCTTGGAATCTAGACTGTGGGTTTGGGGTCAAAAGACTGCTCAGAAGAGTACGTGCATACATTCCACTTTATTTTCTGAACTTTAATATATAATTGCCTTAGTCCATTTTATGTTGAATACTACAGACTGGGTAACTTATGAAGAATGGAGATTTATTTGGCTCATGGTTCTGGAAGTCCAAGACTGAGGGGCTGTGTCTGGTGAGAGCCAGCTTGCTGCATCATAACATGGCAGAAGGCATCACATGGTGAGAGGACATGAATGAGAGAGAAATGAAGCCAAACTTCATCTTTTTATCAGGAACCCACTCCCATGATAACAGCATCAATCCATTCGTGAGGACAGAGCCCTTATGACCTAATCACCTCCTAAAGGCCCCACCTCCCAATACCATTACATTGGTAATTAAATTACAGCATGAGTTCTGGAGGTGACATTCAAACCATAGCAGTAATCGTTATCAAAATGGCTCTCATTAACTGAGAGCTTATTGAGGGCTAGATGTTGGCTTAAGAGTTTTGCATTCTTTATGTCATCTAATCCTCTCATCAACCCTGGGATGTAGGTATTTGTACTCTCATTTTACATGACGCACAGAGAAAATAAGTAACTTGCTGGTAAGTGGTGGACCCAGAATTGAACCCAGAGAGGGTCATGGCTGTTTGGAGTTGGAAACTGAAAGAGCTTTTCCTGGAGGCTTCTTCTGACAACTCCATTGTCTTTCACTCTTCAAACATGGTGGTTTTAACCCTTTGGGAGCTGCAGACCCCCTTGAGCAAGTTATAAGAATGTAGAGCCTCTTCCTAGAAAATGTGCATTTTGCATTTTGCACAAATGCATTCCCCAGGCAATTTCAGGGGTCCATGGGCCCTCCTGAACCCTGCTTTAGGTATTCACTTTCTGCAACACTCTTTTCCTTTTTCCTAACCCAAGGGCACAGGGCAACCCCCAGGGCTCCAAAAATCATCCCAGTGGAGAATGGAATCAGACAGGACAGGTTAATCAATGAAAGCTCACTGCTTCTTCCATAATTGCATTCCTGCCTTTTCATCCTAACAGCCAGCACTTAGGGTAATTGCATTCCAATAAGGCTCCCAGGTCCGGGGCCTCTGGGGCCAGCCCTGGAACATGTTGACATGCCATCTGCTTCCAGAGGGGTTCTGGAGACTAAGACAGCCTTTTAAAATTCTTCTCTGTTGTCTTTGCTATAAGAGAGACAAAGGGCCCTGTAACAGATCTTGTCCCAAGTCCCACTTTCTTAACCCATCCATATCGGCCCTGGAGCCATGGAGGCTTCCTTGGTCCTGGGCTGTCTTTTTGAAGTCAAAACCTGTTATTCCAAGTGGTTGACCTTTGGCAATACCTGGCTTTGGAGTAGGGTGGTCGCCACAGGCCTGGCTGGGCAGAATCACCTCAGAGCTAGAGAATCCAAAGGCTTGGGAACACCCTCAGGGACTGGATATAGTGCTGCCTCAAACACCCCCAACTTCACTCATTTATTTGTAGGGTTTATTGGAACCTCCCTAAAGGGCTCCTATTCTTTGCAAAGAAAACCCACAATGCAAGGAAATAGGGAATCCTCCCCCAAAAAGGGGGTTTCATAAATCTAGAGAGTTCTATTTTCAGAAATAGAACTTCTTCTAAAGGAGATCGATGCATTCTCCAGGCACAGTGACATCCACACAATTAACAGAAAAAGCACAGGTTCATGGTGATTTGAGTTTCACTATTTCCCAAATAGAAATAGCTCCTCTGCTTACCCCCACCAAAGGAATGAGGTATAAAATGGAGAGGTCTGGTGTTTGTTATATGACTTACAGATGCCCCCTCCCCCACTTGGCCCCGGATGCTTCTTTCCTGTAAAGACAAGTTTCCTCTGGGACTCTTCACCCTCCCGGATTTGAGCCCCAAGAAGCCCTCCACAAGCCTAGCTCCCTTGTCCTGCATTCTCGAGGCTGAGAGCTGATTCTTTCATTCCTGCTGAGACCCTCGCTCAGAGGAAATGGATTGTTCCAGGATGGGGATGTTCTTGCTGCAGGAGGGAGAAGAGACAGAAATGGGCCTACAATGTGATGAGTATTCTTGGGTGGTTAATTCCCCCTCCAACATTAGAAACCTAGTGCCTGATTTAGCAGAAAGAGCATCGATTTTTCAGCAAATTCGGCCACTGTTTGAGCGCTGGTTCTGCCAGTCATGAGCTGTGTGCCACTGGGCAAGTCACATCACCTCCATGTGTCACAGTTTTCTCCTGTGGGGTAAAAAAAGAATAAGATTTACTTTACAATGTTCAAATCGAAGGCAGAATGCATGCTATGGTGCCTGGCATTGGATACGTGACTTCCTTCCTTTCGTTCCCTTCTCAAAGGCACAAACTTCTAAAGCATTTTGCAGACGTCAGAAGGTACTATTGGCTGTTCTCCATCAGTGTTCTCCACCCTTGCTGCCCCCAGCCCATTCCAGTCTTCCTCATCCTAACCTCTCCCTCTGCCTACAGCAGAAAACCTAAACTCACAGCTTCAGGCTTTTCCCAACCAACTTGGTTCTCACTAACAGGTTTAGTGTCCCTCCTAGCATTCCTAGCTGCAGCCTGTGCAACCTCAGAAATGGGGACACCGTGAAGAGGTCAATTTGTCCATCTCTGACTCCTCTGATTTCGCACCAGGTCCTTACAGCCAAGGTTGTTAGGCTGCTACATACTTCCTATGGGAAGTGAGATTGCGGACTTCTCATGGCACGGGTGGATCATAAATGGGCATCAGCCACCCGGGGACAAGCAGGAGCCCATGCAGCTGTGTAGTGCACACCCCACTATTCAAGGCCATGCCCACTCCCCTCACTTCACTGTTGCCACCGCCATTGTCAGGATCACTCCTGTCATGCTCACCCTGGCTGCCACCACCCAGCACCCCAATCAGGACTGTCTGAACCTCAGGGAGCCAACCCTAAGACACAGCAACCAGACCTGAAAAGAGGACCCCAGGCCCACTGTTTTTGGTATGTTTTACATGCTTACAGGTTAAGTGTTTTAAATGGAATCTTGAAGTTCTTAAGTTGGTGGGGCATAGGAGGAGGGATGGGGTCAGAACAGGCTAGGGGAGATTAGGGATTTAATTAAACTGCTTGTTTGGATAAGGGCTTTTAGGTGCAAAGCTGCTTTGCATGATAATGGCAGTTTATCTGAATTCCATTCTACGGAAGGAAGCTTCTTTCACTCTTAATTACTGTGGCCAGTTAGCCTGGCTTTTCCTTAATGCCCCTCTCCAGGGTAAGCAGGGCAGCTTGGCTCTCAGCTTCAACCTTGCTGGCCACTGTTGGGGACAGACCCCTAGTCATCTGTCCCTGTAGGAGGCCTGTCCATGCACCAGGCTATACCTAGGTGGGTGGAGGACCTTTAGGACAACTCAGCAAAGGCAGGTCTGGCTTGGGAGTGACACCTGACTTCCCCTGGTATGGCTCCACAGCCAGCCACGGTGGCAGAGAATGGCTCTGGGCTTAGGTTACTGAGACTGTTTTTTAAGCAGAAGGACAGCATTCAGTGACCCATCAGGACAAAGGAAGAGGTGGTTGGAATGGTTGGTAGGGGAAGGCAGAGAGCCCTGAGATGATAGAGGAAGCCACAAAGAGATGGGCCTCTGCATTTGGAGACTCTAGTACACATGGCAGGGTAGGGAAGGGTTAATGGGCTTGGGAACTCCTGCTTCCCATCACTTGTCAGCCAGCTTTGCTCTAGCCTTATCAGCAGGGATAGGGCCTCCGGGAGAGGCTCTGAGAGCTTTCATTTCCAAGCTCTTCCCAGACCCCAACCCCTCAGCATCCTCATTACCTTCTAAGGGCTCCCCTGCTCAGTCTGGGGGGAGGGCCATGCGTAGGGGACTGGGAACCCAAACACATTTAATGGAGCAGAGTGCAAGTTACTAAATACAGCCCTGGGCTGCTGGTGGGGCTGTCGAATCTCAGCAGCAAGCCTTCAGCGTCACACTGCCCCTCCTTTCCCCCATTCAACAGAATGCCAGTTTAGTGCAGGCCATGTCTTTGCTCTTATTTAACTCACCATTGGCTAAACCCCTTCAGTGGTTTCCCCTTTTACAGTTACTGCTGCAGTTACTTTTGGAACTTAAGAAAAGGACCTCACATTTTGGGTGAAATTCATCTCGGCAGATTTGACCCATGTTAGCCTTTGAGAGTTCTGCCATCTCATGAGTTTACTAACCTTCCCCATTTCAGCATTAGGAAACTTGATAAACCTGCTTTCTATATCTTCATTCAAGTTACTGGTTTAAAAGATGTTGCCCAAGAGAGGGCCAAGGGCAGAGCCATTGGTCATGCCAACATAGATTGTCCTTTAGAACTTGTCATCAATTTGTGGTCAGTATCCTTTGGGTGTGGTTATTAAACCAGCTACTAATCCCCCATATTGTACTTCTCTAATTTATAATCCACACATGTACCAAGAATGCTGCCATGAGTTATGTACTTCTCTGTAATCCAATACATTTGGTTCCATGAATGTACCTGGTTTGCCATTCTGGTAAAGAAGGGAGTAAGGTCCACGTATATTTTGCAGTAGAAAAGAGGTAGGTTATGAGTGCAAACATAAACATCATAACTGCAACTTTGTGAGCAGCATGAGTTGCCTGCCAGGAAGACAGTGGTATGTGAGTCAGACATGCCAGGGAGCCAAGTCTGTAAAAGAGAACTGACCTAGATAAGAAATGGGGATTGACTGGAGTTAATCAAGAGCAGCGACTGGGATAGAAGTTTGTAGAAGAGGTGCCAGTTCCAGTGATTTTGGGAGTCCTGTGACAGCAAGAGTAGATCTTGGACTAGAACCAAGAGTTTTCCTTGATCAACCAGCCACAAGACCTTGGTTCTTCCAGGTCTAGAAACTCCAGACAGATTCTGAACAGCCCAGGCCTTTTGATGCCTTCACACCTCTGCTAATGCTGTTCCCTTGAGTTTTCCTTGATCAACCAGCCACAAGACCTTGGTTCTTCCAGGTCTAGAAACTCCAGACAAATTCTGAACAGCCCAGGCCTTTTGATGCCTTCACACCTCTGCTAATGCTGTTCCCTCTGGAAACCCTCTTCCTGTTGCTTACCTGCTGCTTACCTGGCAAACATCTGCTTATCCTTCATTTCTACTGCAAGTCTTACATCCTCTTACACGTCTTCCCTGCCTCGTCCTCACCTCCCGTTCCTGACTTTCCAGGTAGAGCTCACTACTTCTCCCACTGTGACCTTTAGTTCCCTATACAGACCGGCATCGATCATAATCTCGAAAGACACAATTCCGAATACCATTATCCTTTACGGTGAAATCCTGAAAGATCAAAATCCTGAAAATATAATTCTGTAAGAAAAAAAAATTTAAGACATAGTTTTTACATTTTTAAAAGGAAATTTACTTGAGAAACATAAAAACTTGACAGAATACTTCATAGGCCACTTTGCACAATAAAATAGGTGATAATACGTACATATTTTGTAAGCATAAACTTAGATATGTAAGCATAATGACAGTTGCATGGGTATAATAACAGTTATGAGCAGATGAACCATATTCATAAAGAAATAGGTCAAAAATGTATAAGTGCACATCACTATGGTTGGTAATCGTGTGCACCCAGGTTTCACAACTGTGGTCTTCTGAAATACCACAATGGACAACCTAAGTCTTTTGATGAGATCAATCACGTATGCATAAGCAGTCGCCCAAAGAGCTGAAATTTTGAGAAATTTTATCTTTCACATTATGCATATGTACAAAAAGGACATTTCTTCATTTATTGAGGAAGTTTCAACTCTTTTTGTACATGTGCAATGCTTACACACAAGGCCAACGTTGTGATAATGCACTCTCATGGAGTCAAATTTGCAAGAAATGCATAAAACAAATTAGAACTCTAAATGTCTTTACATAATTTATATCCCCAGTGTTGGAAATGATGTGAAGAAGAGGTACATAACAACAGTGAATTTTAAAAAATAATTCTGACAATTTAAAATAGTGGGGGAAAAACCGAAGAAGAGAGAAAATAAGGGAAAAAAATCCTCAGAATTTGGCCTTTGGGATTTCAACATTCAGGATTTTAATTTTTGGGTGTTGTAATTTTGGGATTTTAGACATTGCAAATTTTAGACTTCAGGGATTTTTATCTTTCAGGATTTCAACATTCGGCATTATGGTGTTCTGAATTGTGTTTTCTGGGATTATGACCCAAGCTCGTATAGACATTTATATTTGCACCAAAACCACTTCATTGTATAGAGGTTAAGGGCATAGGCTTCGAAGTTTGGTAGACTTAGGTTTTATTTCTGACTTTGCCTCTTTAATCTCTCTAAATCCCAGTTTCCTCATCTGTAAAGTTGGGACAATCAAAACCCAATTGGGCTGGCATGATTTAATAGAAAATGAGCACAAAGCACTGTATTAGTTGTCTACTGCTGCATAACAAATCACCCCACAAATTTAGTGGCTTAAATCAACAGTAAGCATTGTCTCACAGTTTTTGTGGGTGAGGGATTTGGTAGTGGCCTAGCCAGGTGGTTGTGGCTTGAGGTTTGTCATGAGGTTGCAGACAAGATGTTAGAGGGGTCTGTGGTCATATGAAGGCTTGTCTGAGGCTGGAGGCTCTGCTTCCAAGATGACCCAGTCACACGGCCATAGGCAGAAATTTTCAGTTCCTGCTCGCTATTGGTGGGAGGCCTCAGTTCATCTCCATGTGAACCTTCCCACAGGTAAAGTCTTCTTGAGTGTCTTCACCACATCCTGGCTTCCTTTAGAGTGAGCGATCCAAGAGAGTGCAAGGTGGGAACTGCAATACTATTTATGCCTTAGCCTCAGAAGTCACATACTTTCATTTCCACAGACCCTGTTATTTCTCCATGTCAGCCCTAGTCAGTGTAGAAGAGGACACACAAGCACACGA